GAGGCCATGAAGGTGAAGAAGGGCGGTGGCGGGGTCGGGACGGGGGCGGAACCCGCTCCGGGGCCCTCGGGCCCAAGCGTGGAGCCCATGCCCGAGCCGCAGGCGGAATCCGAATCTGGGTCCGAGTCGGAGCCGGAGGCAGGCCCGGGACCCAGGCCGGGGCCGCTGCAGAGGAAGCCGCCGATCGCGCCGGAGGACGTGCTGGGGCTGCAGCGGATCACCGGCGGTGAGCACCGGCGAGGGAGCGCCGCCCGCGGGCGGGAGGGAGAGCGAGCGAGGGGCCCCTCACGGCGAGCCGAGCCTTGGCCCCCGCCCCCTTTCCCGCCTCCCCTCCCCCACCGGGTCCCCCTCGCCGGTGTCCTCTACTCCCCCTTCTGCCTCCAGGCCTGAGATCTCTGTCCTCACTTCCCTTGGTCTCCCTGTGTGCCCCTCTTCTCCCTTTAGAGATTTATTTCCACCCCACTCCTTCCTTTTTGAGGTCCAGCCCCTTTTCCTGTGGTGGAGGTGGGGCAGCAGCTGCAACTGTAACCCTTTCCCTGTGGAGACTTCACAGTGCTTTGAGGCCAGTCTCCGCACTAATGAAGAGGAGGCTGAGTGCATTCTGTCCTCAGCCCTCACGCTGGAAGCTAGGTGGAAGCTGAGTTACTTAGGGCATTAAGACTCTCCAAGTCTCCCTAATCATTCATACCCTTACCCTGATCCCCAGGAAGACTTGGGGCCACTTTCCTCCTCAGGAAAGGAACTGAGCAGGAAGCCTCAGTGTGTTGGCTCTGGGTCCTACCATGGGAGTGGTTTAATGTCCCTGTAAACATGGACTAGAGTCTGTTCTCTTCTGGGGGCTTTCCCATCAAGGGAGGCCTGGTCTCCACCGTTGTTAAGAGTTTCTGAGTTGGATTGCCTGGGTTGGAGTCCCAGCTTTGCCATATAATTAGCTGTATGACCTTGGACAAGTAACCTCTCTTCCCTGAGCATATCTCTTCTTCTGTAAAATGGAGATAAGTCCTCTGATTTTGTGCAGTGCCTGGCATGCTATGCATGCTCTGTACCTGGGGCTCTCTTATCAGTAGTATCTCTGACCCCACAGAGCTGCTCATGGCTGCTGCCTAGAGGCAGATAACTAGACAATCAGGGCAACGGAGGTGGTCATCATAGGCAGGGAATAAAGGCTAGGAAGCCTCATAGCAGAGGCTGTGGCAGAGTCTCGGAGAACAGGGGGTATCTGGAGAGACTGTGGCCTCCACTTTGGCCTAGTTCATCAGCAACCTTCCCTGGCTCCCTTTGTGAGAGCAACTCTTGGGGCCCTTCTCTGTGGGGATGGAGGGCAGGTGTTAGAGTGGACCTGAGACTTGGAGCTGCAGGAGCAGCAGAACACAGGGCTTCCAGACAGAGCTGTGGAGGGGACGATGATGGCAGGCCTGAGCCTGTGCACCTGGGTCCCTGGAGGCCCAGCTCCTCCCTCCTTTCTGAGCTAGGCAGCAGCCATTCTTGGCTAGGCCCCCAGAGTGCTGAGCTCCCTTGCCCAAGCAGGCATTGGTGGAGGGAGGGGGGCCTGGACCAGGCTGATGTTGGAGCCAATTGGTCTGCAGTTTGCAACAGCAGCATTCAGAATTCAGTTTAGCTCTGGGGAAGAACTTTTTTAGAGGAAATCCAAAAGTCAGACTGACTGGGTCCAGGGTAACTTTTTAAATTTTGTAACTAGAGGGGCTTCCTGCTCATTTACCACCATGTCTCCTAATTTGGAGGAAATTCATAGCCCTTGGAGATGGAACATCCATGGGGGATGAGTAGGAGAAGGGGCTTCATGGGAGCCCTTTTCTGTGCAGGAGTTGAGAACAGAGTTCCAGGGCTGTCTACTCTGGCACCCCTTGCCTGGTCTCTTGTGACCCTAATCACACAGGTCTGAGGTTTGCTGTTCCTGGATTACCAGGCCCTGAATCCAGCTTAGGAAGCTATTTGTGGCTGAGGGTTATAGAGCAGTTGTGCTCTGAGCCCTTGGCCACTCTGCCCCTCATTCTGACCTGACCCTGGGTCCCAGGCTTCATCCTTCCTAGAAGGGAGGGAGTGGCCATAGTTGTTGGGAGCCACAGGCATCCCCTGTTCTACTTCCTCTCGGAACAGAGGGGTTAACAGACTGAGTTTGCAGTAGAAGAGACTGAGGTCATACTGCAGGAGGTTGTTCCAAAATGACAAGAGAGGCTCTAAGAGTTGGAGAATGAGAGGGCCTTACAGGTAGCTGGGAGTTTGGCAGCTGGCATGCTGCTCCCGAATCTGTCACCTCCTCTCCCTGTGCCTTCTTTCTAAATCTTTGTACAAGTGCTTACGTTCCATGAAAATAATGTGAGTACAGGGTGAGGTAGGGCCTGGCCACTCTATTATCCCACCATTCTGCCCCATGGCAGACAGGCCAGGGCTCAGGGCCCTACCTCTTCTCTAAGCCTTGTGTAGTTCCTGCTGGGCCCCAACATGCCAGATGGTTGCCAGGAGGGCTTCCTGGAGGGGGCTGCCCCAGGCTTGGGGACAAGTCAGGCCTGGGGAAGAGAGAATAACTGTATATTCACTTCCTCTTCCTGCCCAAGAGGAATAGGAGGTAGTCCAGGGCCCTGGAGGGTGATTTCCGGGCCTCTGGGCCAGCAGGGGAGGATGTGGTGCTGTGCAGGCTGCAGTCTCCCACTGCACCTCTCTGCTGCTTCCTATGTGCTGCCAGGACCTCCCTGGGCCTTTGCAGTTGCTTCTGCAAGAGAATGAGGGTTAGCTCAGGCCCTGGAGGTTCCTGAGCTGTCTTAGGCAAGGCCTCCCACTGTTCTTGGTTCTCCTTTTGGGCCTGAGGAGCCCTGACCCCCATCCACACCCCTGCTGTACCTGCTACACCCTCTTCCTGGCCTAGCCTGTGCTATTCTCTGTGGGGTCAGGAGTACTTTCTCTGTGAAGGTGGCTCAGAGCCAGGGCTGGATAGATGACCTCTAAAGGGGTTCCCTCTGTGTGCTAAGACTTTCTCCCATTTGGAGATCAACAAAGGATGGGAGCAAAGTTGGCTGCCTTCCCCCCATATCCTAGGCTCTGGGCTTGAGTCAGCAGAGCTTTAGCTAAGCTGCTTAATGGAGCTGGGCTCGCATAAGCCGCTTACAGAAAGAGGAGGGGGCTGGGGTGAGGAGGAACAGGGAAGGGGTTGTTTAGCACTACCCTTATCAGGGAAAGTCCTCTGGATATCAGCCTTGCCAACACATCTAGATGTAATATCTAGACCCCCCGGCCGTGGGGTAAGGGTGTGGTTATCCTCCAGAGAAGGACTGTGTCTCTCCCAACATGGAGCTGTGTCACCCCCTTTAGAGTGAAGTCCCCAAAAGCAGGGCTGTGTCTTCCCTCATGCTGTGGCTTCCCATCAGGCTGGAGACCCCATTCTCCCAAAGGCACCCAGGTAGCCCTAGCAGAGGAGGGGCCAAAATAAGGACCCTCAACTCCAGGGAAAGTAGGAAGTGGCCTTGTCCTCTACCCTTCTATGTCCTGCCCTGACCTCCAGAGACCACTAGGATGGGGCTGACCATCCCCCCTTAGGTCCCTATAGGGCTCTTCCACATTTTGGGGGCTCCCTCAAGTCAGGAGCTCACTTCCCTCTTTCTGGAGGCCAGTGATCCTAGGTATCAGGGAAAGTGGTAGGTAGTCTGGGGTCCCACAAAAGTTGAACTGGCAGCAGGGATTTTGGGCCTCTTCCTTGGTCAGCTCTCTGTCTCCCCTAGATTACCTCTGTTCCCCTGAGGAGAATATCTACAAGATCGACTTCGTCAGGTTTAAGATTCGGGACATGGACTCAGGCACTGTCCTCTTTGAAATCAAGAAGCCCCCAGCCTCAGGTGAGTGGGCCATTGACAAGGGCAGGTGGGCAAAAGCTGTGGGGTGGGCTGCCCAGAAACTCCTTGAGCCACAGAGGAATCAGAGCAGAGCTGGGGCTTGGTCTCCAGCATGATTCTCAGGAGTCTGCAGGCGGGAGGCCTTTTTTCCTTCCCATCTGTTTCTGGGATTGAACATCTTGGGAGGATAGTCCTGCCTCTTTGGTCCTGCCAGTCTGCCCTCTGCAGGGCTCACTGGGAACTGCATCCCCAGAGGCCTCAGGCCACTGCATCCTGTGGCTCTAGAGACTTCAGAGGAAATTGGTGATTTGCTGACCTAGAAGCCCCAGGTGGCACAATTTGGCCAATGGTCTGAACCCTCAGTGTGCACCAGAATCTCCTGGGGAGTTTTTAAAAAGACAGACAGGGGCCCTGGGGTGGAACCCTGGGTGGGCAGGGGCCTAGCCTGAAGTCCACTGAGCCCAGCTGGGGTACATTGCAGAGCGGTTGCCCATCAACCGGCGGGACCTGGACCCCAATGCTGGGCGCTTTGTCCGCTACCAGTTCACGCCTGCCTTTCTCCGCCTGAGGCAGGTGGGAGCCACGTGAGTCACCGGGCTGGGGGTGAGGGCTGGTGATGAGGGAGAGGGTGGGAGTGAGCCCTTTCTGAGTCCCTCCTGAGCCTCTCTTCTGGGTGGCCTGTCCTGAGCCTGGCTGGCTGGCTGACTTCAGGGCCAGGCTCATCCCTGCCCCTTCTCTTGCTCAGGGTGGAGTTCACAGTGGGAGACAAGCCGGTCAACAACTTCCGCATGATCGAGAGGCACTACTTCCGCAACCAGCTCCTCAAAAGCTTTGACTTCCATTTTGGCTTCTGCATCCCCAGCAGCAAGAACACCTGCGAGCACATCTACGACTTCCCCCCTCTCTCTGAGGAGCTGAGTACGTGGGTCTCGTGGAAGCAGGGGAAGAGGGGGACACGTAGAGAGCAGGCCGGTGGTGGGGGTGCTTGTGGGTCTGACCCCTTTTCTTCTCGCCCTGAGTCTCTTGTATCTGGCACTGTTCCACATCACCTGTAGAGAAACGGGCTCAAAGAGGCTGGGGAGCTTTCTGGGGTTGTTCAGCTGTCCCTGTCCCCTAGACCCGAAGCTTCCACAGTGGCCTGACTCAGACTCCTGACCTTCACCCGGCCTGGCTGGGCCTCTCTTGCAGTCAGTGAGATGATCCGCCACCCGTATGAGACACAGTCCGACAGCTTCTACTTCGTGGATGACCGGCTGGTGATGCACAATAAAGCAGACTATTCCTACAGCGGGACACCCTGACCCCCAAGCCACTCCCTGCCTGGAGACCCTGGTCCTGGGCCCTGTGCTGTGACCTCCCTAACGCTCACCTCTTAACCTCAAGTCTTCTGCTTGGGGAGTGCTCCAGGAGCTCTGGACCCTGAGTCATCGTGGGGAGGAAGGGTACCTGGTGTCCCCAGTCCAAGCCCATGAAACCCATGGGGCCCACCATGAGGGGTGAGGTCGTAGGGAGGCTGTTTGTCTCCATGTCCAGGAAGACCTAAGAGAGGAGCAGCCAGGACTTCTGGACAGTGTAGCTGGGCCCTCTTGGGCCCACGTTTCAGAATAGTGTTCCCCTATCCAGGCTGTGACTAGGCCAGGGCAGGGACCCATTCCCTGTCCCCAGCCCACCACCCTCAGGCCATTTAGAGCCGAACCTTTACAAAGATCCACAGTGGGGCCTGACTGCCAAGCTGCCCAAGGGAGTCTGGGCCCTGGACCCAGCCCCATTCTCCCCCTTTAGGGGCTGAGACACCGCCTGAGGTGTGGAAGGGACCGGCCTGTGGTAGGTGCTGGACCAACTGTATATAGTTTTCAATAAACTTTCTCCTTTTCTGTTCTCTGGTATGCACCAGCCTCTGTGTGTATGGGTAAGGGGGACAGTGTAGGCAGCCGTGTGCTTGAGAGGGTAAAAGTCTCTTGCCGGGCGCAGTGGCTCACCTCTATAATCCCAGCACTTTGGGAGGCCAAGGTGAGAGGATTGCCTGCGCTCAGGGGTTCGAGACCAGCCTGGGCAACTTGGCGAGACCTCCTCTCTACAATAAGTAAAAAATTAGCTGAGCGTGGTGGCACATGCCTGTAGTTCATCTACTTGGAAGGCTAAGGCAGAAGGATTGCCTGAGCCCAGCAGGTCGAAGCTGTGGTGGCTGTAAGTGTGCCACTGCACTCCAGTCAGGGTGACAGAGTGAGATTCTGACTCAAAAACAAAAGTCTCCCTGCCTTCTAGTGCCCTCTGACTCCCAGGTCTTCGCATCCCCTGATTCTCTGTATCCTGATACTACACTTGTCATCTAGATCAGCATTGAGGACATGATGGGACTGGAAAGGGTTTCCAGTGGTGAGGAGGGAGACCCAGGCCCTGAGAGAGGAAGCTTTGGCCCAAGTCATCGCCAACCCTGGCAGAAGGCTCTGAACTCGGGTGGGAGTGCAAGTGTGAAGGAGGCAGCCTTGTCCTCTATCCTACCCTCCCTGACCCCAGACGTCACTGGGTTGTGCTCTTAGCCCTAGCCCTCATCAGAGAAGGTTTGGCTAAGGCCTGGCGCCATCTCCTTGCCCTCAGCTGCTTTGGGGAGCACCCTTGCTGGGCAGCCCTGTAACACTGCCCTCACCCTCAGCCCCATGCCAGATCAGAGGAGGGGACTGCTTCATGGAAAAATTCGAGAACAGGTAGGCAGACAGCTCGCCTCAGCATTCACACTGTTCCCAGGCCCTCCTTCAGATATGCCTGGTGCCAGCCCACTCTCTGGGCTGAGGAGCTCTGGCCCTAGGAAGCCCAGAAGTGCTGGAATTCAGCTTGTTCTGTGGAGCGCTTGCTGGAAGCCAGGATCTGCACTGAACTCTGGGAATTCTAAAATGACTAAGACATGGGAATATAGAACAAATTGGACCGGGCATACGGGGAGCAAGAGTCACTCATCCTGCTTGGAGTGTTCTGGGGAGGACTCTGGGAGGGGCAGCACCAGAGCAGATGCTTGCGATAGGAAGAGATGGGGGAGAGAATGTTTCAGTGCAGGGAACAGCACAAGCAAAGTCTTAGAGGCAAGATTTACCAGATCGACAGAGCCTCAAGAGCTAGGGTTGTTCCAAGAAAAGTGGGGAGCCCCTGAGGAGGATTAAGCAGGCATGGTCTGATCAGATTATCTCTGAATACTGAGTGAAGGGTAGATTGGAAATAATAAGACTAATAATAACAGCCAAGATTTATTTATTTATTTATTTTTTGAGTTGGAGTCTCACTCTTTCACCCAAACTGGAGTGCAGTGGCACGCTCCCAGCCATCGCAGCCTTGACCTGCTGGGCTCTGGGGATCCTTCCGTCTCAGCCTTCCAAGTAGCCAGAACTACAGGCACGCGCTGCCACGCCCGGCTAATTTTTGATTTATTGTAGAGACGAGGCCTTGCCAAGTTGCCCGGGTGGGTCTTGAACCCGCGGGGCTCAGGCAATCCACTCACCTTGGCCTCCCAAAGTGCTGGGATTACAGGCTGAACCACTGAGCCCGGCTGACAGCCAAGATTTATTGAGTGTCAGGCCCAGAGCTGGGTGCCCTACACATGTTAACACATATAACGCTCACAGTCATTTCTAAGGAAGGCACTTTCATTATGCCCATTTTACAGAAAATGTAGGTCCATAGAGGTTAACTTGCCCAGCCAGTGTTGCACAGCTAACATCTGCTAAGCAACAGAGCCAGGATCTGAATCTAGGCAGTCTGGCTCCATGCACTGCCATACGGGGAGTAGTGAGGAGGGTGTTGCAGTAATTCAGGTGAGCAAAAGGGAACCTGAATTAGGTCAGTATCCACAGAGATGGAGAGAAGTAGATGAAGATTTTTAAAAGGTGACATCGCCAGGACTGGTGGCTGATTGGATGGGTGGGTTGGAGGGAAGGAGGAGTTGAAACTGGTTGCCTGGTTTGTGACCTGGGTGCTGGGAGGGATAGAGGAGCTGTCACTGGGCTGGGAACGCAGGTTGGATCAGGGTGGGTGCTAGAAGGAGATGGTGAGTTCAGGTTGGGACATGCTGTGGTGTGGTATGGGCATCTTGGAAGAAATGACCAGATGTTAGGAAGTTTGGGCCTAAGACCAGGAAGGGAATAAGAGCTGGAAATGGTGGCTGTGGGAGGTCACTGGCCACACAGTGATTGCTAAGGCTGTGATGGGGCTGAGATTACGGGATCCTCTTCTGTCACTACTGGTAGTGAGCTAGGGGCAAGAGTGCCAAATGTCCCGCGATTGTTTGAACTCTCTTAAATGATGCTAATAGTCTCCCACCCCATAATTGAGGGTCCTTGAATAAGAATTTGTCATCCTAAGGAAGGCCAGAGGGAGAGGAACCAGCAATGGAGACAGGAGCAGACATTAGTGAGAGTGGAAGCAGCTTTGTTGGGAACTAAGGGAAGAAAGGATTTTACCCTGTAGCAAGTGGTAAGGAACTGTCAGTTGCCACCAAGGTGCAGGAGAAGCATGTGGGAGGTCGGGGGAGGGGATTTGTCTGCAGATGAGGCTGTATAAATACACAAGTACAGTGTGAGAGTTTTGTTGTTGTCGTTTAAGGGGTTACAAGTCTGCAGAGAAACTGTAGCAAGAAAGAGAAATCTGCACTGGTGTCAGGAGAAGACCTCCCTCCCACCGTTCTGATGCTAGTCTCCACTGCAGCTGCTAAGTAGAGCTGGGATGAGGTTCTAGGTTGGGCCCGCTGCATTTCCACCTTCAGACAGGGAGGAAGTTCCCCATTCTGGGGTTCTCATCCCTGGAACAGTCACTCGGTTGGCACTCAACCCAAGGAGAGGCTTGTGTCCCCTGGACTGGGATGAGACTCGGCTGGGAAAAGCCTTAGCCAGCCCCCACCCCAACAAGTCTTCATGCTTCTGGCACTGATCCTGCCGCTAATGGTGCAGCTTGCTGCCTTTAGTTCCTGGCATGTTCCATAGGAAACTGGAGGATCCCTGAGCAGGAAAAGGAGGAAGACAGGGTGGGAGTAGGGCTAGCCTTGTTCTGATGTTAAGCTGTTGACCTTGAAGGGGTGAGTCCCTTCTGTCTCTCTGAAGTGGGCTAGTCATTTTTGCTTTGACTCTTCAGGGTGTCCTGTCCCTGGTAGAGCAGGCAGGCCCCAATATTAAAGGGAAGCCCATCATGCATACCTTCCTGGGCTGGCCTGCAGGGTGCCCATTGGGACTGTCAAACCACTTGTTAAAATATTGAGATGCAGTCGGGCATGGTGGCTCATGCTTGTAATCTCAGCACTTTAGGAGGCCGAGCCAGGAGGATTACCTGAACTCAGGAGTTCAAGACCAGTTTAGGTGACATAGCAAGACCTCATCTCTACAAAACAAAGATATTAGCTAGGCATGGTGGTGTGCTCCCAAAGTCCCAGCTGCTCAGGAGGTGGAGACAGGAGAATTGCCTGAACTCAAGAGGTAAAGGCTACAGTGAGATGTGATCATGCCACTGCACTCTAGCCTGAGTGGCAGAGTGAGACTCTAACTCAAAAAAAAAAAAAAGAAAGAAAGAAAAAGAAAAAGATTGAGATGCTTCCCTTCTGGTTGGTAAAGAGCTGCTGGCCCTGGTCCCCAGTGCCTTCCGTCCTAGCCTGGCCCCCTCCTAAGTTACCCACCATCTCTCTGCCATCCAGCAACTAAGACAAGGGTGTTTTACTTTTTTATGGGCCACAGACTCTCTTGTTGTCAATCTGCTAATGCAGTAAAAGGTTTTTAAGAATATAAACCGGGCTCGGTGGCTCAGCCTGTAATCCCACGCCTTTGGGAGGCTGAGGTAAGTGGATTGCCTGAGCCCCCGGGTTCGAGACCCGCGTGGGCAACTTGGCGAGACCTCCTCTCTACAATAAATCAAAGTGAGCCGGGCGTGGTAGTGCGCGCCTGTAGTTCCAGCTACTTGGAAGGCTGAGGCAAAAGGATCGCCGGAGCCCAGCAGGTCGAGGCTGCGGTGGCTGGGAGCGGCCACTGCACTCCAGTTTGGGTGTC